ATCGATGGGAGGCAATCTGCGGCAGAAGACGGTCTCGGAGATACCCAGGTCTATAAATTGCATAATCAATAAATAAGGTAAGTAAATAAATTTCCCATCCTGGTTCATCTTAGTTTTCAGAGGTCAGCCAAGTTTGTGGCTCTGAGAAGGGGCCATCCAAACTGCACCCCAAGTGCTGCATGGCCCCTTTGCTTTGAATCTCTTCTTGTGCAAGGACTGACCAGTGCAAAATCATGGGAGATCCCAGGTTGGTCCACTATGGAGGTCAGTCAAGAGTCCATTGGCCACGGCTGCTCAGCATTTGAGGAAGAGAAGGTACTTCTCCAGTCTCCAGTTTGATCTTTCCCTACCCAACAGCAGATGCCAGCGATTGAACCTGGAGGTACCCAAAATGATGTTCCTTCCTGGGGTCTGCTGGTGGAAGGGGTGGGGCGGGGGGGAGGAGGGAAAGAGACACAAGTGCAGACGTCTATGGAGGTGAGAGGACTTTCCAGAAAGTGGGAGGGTTTGGCAGGCTTAGCATAAAGGTGTCTGTCCTAACAGCAGCCCTCTTCCGAAAGCCACTCAGTCAAGGCCAGAGCATCCATCCTCAGGCCTGGCAGAGGGCACTGAAGACCCATGCAGAGAGCTCAGGAATCATCTGGCAAGGGGAGAATGGATCTGCTACTGAATTGCTGCCAAACCCACTTGCTTAATGGACTCCTATTGCTCTACATTTTGACTCTCAACCCACCAGCTCGGCCCCATATCTGATTATTAAGAGTGCCAAGAGCAGGGGTCTGCTGAGGAAGCTTACACGGCACCCTTCTGGGGGAGGCTTATGTCTCAGCAGGTTTTGCTCCCTGTGTGGCTTTTCTCCAGACAGATAAGCCTGCTGAAGCCCATTCTTTTCTCAGAAGCAGACAGCTGCTGCCTGTTTCCCATCATAACCCTTATTCCAGTGGGATCAGCTTCCAAGACAAGATTTGAACCCTGGATTTAGGGAAAGAGATATACATGCATGGGTCTTGTTTTCTTATCAGCCAATTTCAACAAAGCCACAAGAGCAGATGCAGCCTCTGAGCAGGACCTCACAGTCACCCCTAGGGCCAATCTGGCGGTTGGGTGCATTTTTTTGCACTGACGTTACCAAATCCTTCAGGCTCTCATATATGACTGACGGGTTTGGCTGTTAGAAAGCCAGTTTCAAAGAAGCTGGAATCATTGCAAAACAATCCAGAGCCAGGGGCTCAGGAAAGACAACTTGAATCCAGTAAAATCCTAACCTACCGAGACCAGACAACCTGGCTAGAAGCCAGAGAAGATGCCAAAAACATTTGTTCAAAGTGGCCAGCCGCCTCGTCAGTACTTAAGTTACAGAAGGGCTGGTTTCAGTTCAGGGCCGAAGAACTCACAGGTGCAGCTCAGTGGTGTTTCAGCAAACATTCCATGCTTTTTGTGGGAAGTGTTCCCCTCACAAGAGAAAGATCTTTTCACAAAACATACTGCAAATTGCTGTATTTTTTGACCTCTTATTATGTGCCATCAACTCAGTATCTACTCTTAGCAGCCACAGAGATGTTCTCTGTAATTATCTGTCACCAACCTGGTCCTTCTGCCAAGATTCCAGCTGAGCCACACAAGGCCTAATGAGGCTGGCATAGAACTCACAGGGTCCCAGCCGCAGCTGGGCTTGGTGCTTTGGGCTGGCCTAGCTGGAATCTGGCTCAAGCCCTGCCCTGCTTCTGCTGTCTTGAGCTCAGGGCTCTTACATTGATGGAGAAGCCAAGAGCTCTCTCTCTCTCTCTCCTCTCCCCCCCGCCCCCCGCAACAATACACCAACAGCAGAAAAACCACCTGGTCAGCTGGGCACCTCAAGGAAATTAATCTGGCTGGTCTAGAGAAACTTTTATTACAGAACAGGCCAATTCAGAAGGCATACAATGAAACAGGACTACCAGTATGTAAACCAAAACATAATTAAAAATACAGTGAATTAACAGTTGGAAATCCAAGTACAAGAGAAGCCTACAGAAAATCCTCCCAAGCAAGTCCTATTGGCAGATGCTGGTGGGATAATTTTTTGCAGGGAACGTGGCTGCCTACCAGCTGCTAACAGTGCTTGATAGGATAAGCTGGCAAAGGTGAAGACTGCCACTCTACAACATCAGAACCAGTTAAATAAAAATGACTTGTAGCCGATGCCTGAAAAAGCACATCACAGTGGAATGACAGTTCCTGGAGTTTACAGCAAAGATGGTGGTTTTCCTAGATCCTTGGTTGGCTTTGCAGGTAGCAGAGGCACTAAACTGATGGATAGAAGTGAAAGACATCTGGAAGCCATCAGAAGTTAGAAAACATCTATAGCTGTCAATGGAGTGACGTGGGTGCAGATAACTCTGCAGACTCAGGTCAGGAGGATTTCCCATCCGTTATGTAGTAACGATACATCAAGCCCAGAACCAAGGCTCCCAGAATAGGGATCAGCCAGACCGTCCAGATGCTGAGGAACAAACAATAAAGAAAAGGTGAGCCACATTTCCATGAATGGAAAGATGATTCCTGCTTTCAGAACTTCTGACTATTACATGCAAGATGGAATGTTGGAGGTAAAGTGCCCCCCACGGCCCCTGCATACAGGAACATCTTGTGCATAATTATCATAAGCAAGAAGGCTGACATCTCCAGCCCAGCACTTCTGTTCCCCTTCACAGTTGCAACTGCTGTATTTCTGGAACTCTCTGTTTCTTAGCACAAATATATTCTGAGGCAACATGGTCTCTTCTGCACGGTTCAGCCAATCGATGTGGCCACATGTTACTGACACTGACACTCGCTACAGAATTTCCCATTTCATGGCACAGTATTATGATGGCCACCAGTTAAAGATTGCTAAGGATAAAGTTATCAGAGAAATGTAAAACATGTTTACACTTGCATTACACTTATTGTAAGGGTCTAATGTAAGTGCCAACTGTAAGATTCTTCTCTTTGCCACCACCAGGGAGGAAGATTTCACTAGCTACACAATGCCTGTAAGTCTTCCAATTGAGACAGGAGGACACACATTTCCAGAGGCTGCTTTTAAAGCCAAAGGGAGTGCATTTCTTTGATTTACAATATTGTCAGAATACTGTACCTTGACTCATGGAATGGGCTTGGAACCTGGGGAGATAAAAGGCACATCCTTGTGTTAAGCTGATAATTGCTCAGAGAGCCAGATAACTCTTCCCATCTTTCTCACATACTGGGGAGAAGGAAGTGTCCTAGTTTCCCTCCCCTGGTCCACCTCCCCATTTATTCTGTAGATCACCATGTCCCACCATTCTCCCCAACAGGCAAAGGAGGCCTTTCTAAAGGAGAACATCAACATTTCCCAGCCCATCATAAGAACCAGATGCCCATCCTGTTCTTTCCTTCCACTTTGCTGGCTGGGGTCTGTGCAACTGTGCTCCCCCACCCATCTTCTCCTAGGAGCAACCTTGCATTCAGCATCAGCCTGGTTCTAAGAGCTTGACCATGTTCAGAATCTGAGACCAAGGGGATTAACATGCCTCGTCCACAGAGGACTGAAGAAAGGTGTGGCCTGAGCAACAAAGAGACGCTGCAAGGGACAATGCTGTAACCTGTTTAATGAGTCCCTTACTGGCCCGCCTGGAAAGGTTTAGACACAGCGCCTTCGGAGAAGGCCTGCCCAGAACAGCCCGACTGTTCCCAGGCAAAATCCTTCAGCCAGATGTGAAGAAAAACTAAGGTTACATCGAACTCCCTAATGGGACTCCATTTAGCACGACTTTAACCTTTTCTTTGGCTCACAGCCCTGTTTGTCCTACCAGCTCCAAGGAGTTTACGGGAGGATCTTCTCTTTGCACAAAGACATCAGATGCTGTCTGTCTGGCCAGAAGGCAAGTTACCCAAACAGGAAGCTAACCACCTGTACTGCTGCCGTCCTTGCCAGGCCATTGCAAGCAGATGGCGAGAGAAGCCGCTCTCCTCCACTTTGATGGACAGCAGAATGATGCAAAGGATATCCCAGGATAGGGATGGGGAAGAAGTTGGAGGGGCAGGCAGGACCCAAGACATCGTTTCTCAATGCAAGAATTGTATCAATTGTTAGTATCTACAGCAGTCTACAGCTCATGACTTTATTTGCTGTGGACGTAAGTGGAGAAGAAATGTTTCCAGTTTGTCCTGTGTGTAGATGATACAGTGAATCACGTTTCAGTTATTTGCAGAAAAATAAAAGGGACCTTTTTAGCTGTAGAAGTGGGGCTGTGCCAATCAAAAACAGGCAGTTTTTTCAAAGGAACACAAAAGAGCCTTTAGGAAGAATTTATTTTTGGGAGGTGTTACAGCATGAGAGACCTTCAACGCAAACCCCAGGATGGGAGAATGGCAGCTCAGACAAAACTCCTTTCCTTTTCAGCCCAAATAATTGCTGTTTTTCTGAAAAGCTATGTGGCTTGGATCAGGACGTGTCACTCTGCTCACCCCCACCTCCATAAATGCTAGGGAAAAAGAACAAAGGAAGGAGCAACAGTCTGCGTTCGCCTTGTGAGTCAACAGCCTTTCATTTTAGGAAAAACTATCGGGTGGGTAGGAAGAGTGGGAGCAGGAGATGAGGCCCCATGAAAAGAGGAGACGGTTCCAGAGAAGAGCCAGTCCTGAAATCCAAGCCGTGGCCTTGGGAAGGAGGAGAGGCTGATCGGAGCAGAATGGCCGGATGGGGCGGAGGCTCCCTGGCTTCAGAAAGGGAGGCGCAGGAGACCTTCCGACATGACTGGCCAAAAAGGCCCCAGCCGAACAAACAGAAACTCTCTGCGTCAACAGATAATCCCAGTGCAAGAGCAGTAAGACCATTAAGTCAGAGACACATTTTTGGGCTGCTATTCATCACAGATAATGGACGTGAACAGGAGGGGAGAGAGAGTGTAAACGTAGAAGCCTTCGTGAAAAACCTAGGTTTGTATCAAAATTGGTTTGATAACAGTTTTCACAACAAAAGCATCCTGCTGCTCAAAACTGGAGCAGAAAGCACTCCAACTCCTTTATAGTCTGAGCTTTACCGTGTGCTGCAAACCAAGCCTAAGTCTGTACTTTATGACTCCATATATGGTGCAGTCAGAAAACAAGCCAATTAGGTAACCAATTTAAGCAAGTTGTGCAAACACAGCCATTGTTTCCTTGATCTCCTGCCTTTATCCCCTGGGCCTGGCACACCAGGTTGCTTTGAGGTTTGGCACTTTGCAGTCATAGGCATTGCTTTGGACACACTTTCTGGGCCCAGGTTTTCCCCAAACTGGAAGGCAGCTCCCCTAGAGAGCCTGGGCCTGACGCAGCGCTTGTGGGACCCAACATTTTCAGAAGGTGAGAAAAGCCACTTCAGAGCACTCTGCAGGCAGCCCTTCCAACTTCCCAGCCATCTCTGCCATCTTCCCCAGAGGCAACGAAGCAAAGACACAGCAACAGGAAGATGTATGCTGTAGTTTTCAGATAGGAAAACTGCGAGGGCAGTTCAAGAGTGGAGCCGACAATGTCCAAGAGATGTGGCAGGATGTTCAAGGAGATCTCTGCACCAGCTGGAGGAGAGAACTGGCTTCCAAGCAAAAGGTGGGAAGGGCTGCCATTCAGAGGCTGGCCGTATGGGCAATCCCCTTGTGAAGGCGGGTCACCTGGAAAGGCAGCAGCTTCAGGAAATGGCTGAAGCCAAGCTGAGATTCCCGCCTTGCTCCCAGAAGAAAGGACTTGTCCCCACATTTCCCTGGGAGGTGTTACTGGGAAGAAACATCAATGGCAGAACTGGAAGTATGTTGTCTTTCAGTTCCATTCCTTGTTGCTAGTCCAGAAGGACAGGTGGAAAGAAAGCAGAATCGCTACCATGCCTTGCTTCCCGTGACAGGATATGGCCACCTCATAACCAGCTGGCCATCAACCCAAAGTTAGCCTCAATTCCAACCAGATCCCATCTAAGAGATCTCCAAAAGATTGGCCAGCTACAGTCATGTCAAAGGTAACCTTTAAAGCAATTCTGGCCTCCCCTTTTCCAATTAAAGCTGCCTCATCATACCATAAGCCCCCTCCATAGGACTGGCAGATGCAAGCATCTATCTGGATCTCAACCTCTTCATGTTCCTGTCCAGGAGGACCAATCTCAGGACTTTTTCCCTGGTTTCAGCTAAAGCATTTCTCAAAAAGCCCAAGACAGGATTCGGCACCTCTGAATCATATAACTGGCCCTGCTGGTAAATGTCACTGGTTCCTGAAACTCAACAGGCATTAGCTGAACACGCAGAAAGGGAGCAAGCAGGGAGGAAGGAAGGGAAAACGCAAGAGCAGCCCTTCGATTAGGCCTGGCAAAAGAAGAAAACAAAACACACACAAAGGATAGGCTTCAGAGGGGGTTTCCTGGGCTGAGAAGAGTCTCCAAAGAATCCAGAATGGCTGCTACCTGGATCCCAAAGTGAAGACAGGATTTGTTTAGGGAAATTGCTGGCTGTTACCAAAAAGGTTGTCACAAGTGAGAGTTGTGAAAAGGGGCAGCTGGACAGCCTTGCAGAAGAGGAAAAAGAAAGACAACCAACGGGTCAGTTCATTCTCCAGCCACCTGAATGCAGCAGACCTGATTTGAGGGAGTGAGCAGAGCCCACAGCAGGGTTTTGACAGGGCCTGGGAGCCTTTTCTCAGAGGCAGGTATTATAGTGCTGTGTTTCCCTGCACAGCCCAGGGTCTCCCCACAGGTAAACCCCTCCTGTGCCTCTGAAAAAGCAGGTAGAGAAGCGGGAAAACCCTGCAAACCTTCTGGCACCACTTAAGCCGCCAAGTCAGAATGAGGCAGGCATATTTACCCCAGTGCCTCTCTTCCCATTAAACTTCCAGCCTGGGAGACTTTATCCTTGCAGGAGCAATGCCACCAAGCCTCTGTTCTCCCCCAGAATCATAAGCTACAGAAAGGCCCACAGAAAGGTTTACAGCCTCCAATATCACTCCTGGGGAGGGGCTCTTGTACAAGGTTGTTTTCAGCTCTGGCCTCACCTCAGGCCCCTTGGGAGAAATCAAGGCCACCCATGGCATCTGAAAGTTTGATGACTCTCTCAGCACAAGTTCAGTGAGCTATAAGCTGGGACATCATGCTCATCCCAAGCTTTTGTTGACACAAGACAGGGAGGGAGAGGCAAAATAGGACAATTACAAACTGGGCTGCAAGCTAAGCTGCAGAAAGCTTTTATTCCCTTGCTGCAAAGAGCTGCACTCTGCTCACCACACAGCACTCTACCCAAAGGGAAGAGGCCCCTCAGCTACCTCCAGCAAGAGGGCTACCCTGCAGCGCAATGACTGTACCGGAGTACGCCACAAGGCCTTCTCTGCTGCAAGACAGAGCAGTCAAGATGAAGCAGGAAGTCCCGGCTCCTCCAGCAAATGCCAAGTGCCTTACCCAATGATCTCTGCCCCAGAGGATTTTCTCCTATTCAGCCAAGGATTTGTCTATCCCCTCAGGAGGCCCACAAAGGACAAAAAGATAAAGTCCTTTTCTCTTGGAGGCCCCCAAGAGCTGGCAGTCAGAACTCTGCTGCCTCTGGACACAGGTCCAGTCAAAGCAGGTCCCCAAGTACCCAAACAGTTTTCCTTTCAAGGTGGAAGACTGACAAGTGGCATCCCTTGCAGGGTAGAAAGATGCTGGCTGCAAAAAAGAGGAGTGGCTGACAACTCATGAATCAGTAGCCTTGTGCTCAGGAGGATCTGTGCTGCTGGAGACAAAGCCACTGCATTCTGGCCAGCTGTACAAGGGCAGTTTCCCCCCCTCCCCAGGGCAGCTTCTCACCTCTGCTGCATAAAACAACTCACTCAGCTGAAAACATGTTTCTGTTCTTACAGCATCTTTTTAGGTACTGAAGGATGAGTGTTTTCCTGTGAGACAGGTCTATCAGAGTATCCTGGTCTACCCAAATATGGGACGGAGCATACTGCTTCTGCTTTTGCCTTTCAGCCCCAATCTAAGAGTCTTCACAGGCAGTCGCTTCTGCAACCAACTATTTCTGTGTAAAATTTAAATTTACCAACAAAGATGCTATCTTTAATTCTTTGATGTCTCCCTTTAATTCTTTGTCGGTAAATTTAAATTTAGTACTGAAGGAGGCTTCCTTGCTAGAATAAAAAGGAAAATATATTACCAGAATTGGCCTTACCTTGGAAGCATCAGGTTTGCGATCATCCTGTTGAAAAAGGGGAAAGAAGGGAGAGACTCTTGTTACACATCTGAGAAATACCGTCTCCTCTGCCTCCTCTGAAGGAATGACTGACTTCCCTGGTAACCACCAAAGACCCTGAAGAGGGGTACGGGCTGCTGATAGGTGGGTCAGCAGGGAGCCTGGTGGCAACTAATAATATTCTTCTGGGTAGAACTGAATGACTTTAAAAGTAAAATACAAGAAATGAATGCAATATTAAGTCTGAATAGAATAAATCTACCTATATATACTTGGAAGCATCAATTCTGCATAGAAAATCTAAAAAAATACACTGAATTGAAATCACTGCTCCCCTTTCATCTATGGTGATAACCACTGTTAAGGCCTTTGCTGCCCTGAAGGAAAAATACCACCCAGAAAATGAAATGTCTTTTGATAAAGGAAACGACCAAAGGCATCTTCCCTTCATTTTTATATCCATTTCGATTGATCCACGTCAGCTTAGCCATTTATTTCAGGATCCCTCTGGAGAGATGTGGGTAAGACATCAAATCCGGCGAGTGAGACCATCCATCTCTCCTTGCTAAGCCTGACTTCACTTGAATAACCTGCTCGTAACTCAAGGGAGAGACTCTGGGGAGAAGGCCTGGCCTGCTAAACAGGAAACCTCAGATAAGCCAAGCAAAGGAAGAAGGACTCCCGGGCCACTGAGGCACGGGGACTCAGAAAAGGAGCTGCTCCCCAGGGAGAAAACCTTTCAACACAAATATCACAAGGACCCCAAATTTATTTTATGAATTAAACGTTACCGGATGAATCTCTCCTATGAGATACTGCTTGAGCATTTCTTTAGCATCCATGGAATGGCCAACATCTTCAAAGCTCTCTGTGGCATCTCTACCAGCTTGTTCAAGCAGAACCTTATCTCCACCTGGATGCTAAAAAAAACAGAAAGTCTGAGAAAGAGGAGCAAACAGGGAATGACCACTCTATCTTACGGTATAGGAAACTGCAAGCATTCAAGATTTTTCTCACTGAGGAGAAATTTACTTTTCACTTTACCATAAAGTAAAATCCATTAAATGGAAGCAACAGTACCTATTTCCTAGCAGACTTTTAAAGGCCTGCATTCTATTAATGCAACCCTATTGAGGTCTATTCAGAAACAAGCCCTTTGAATTCCACAGAAACTCTCTTGAGGTAAATTAACATGTACGTCATGTCTTTTATGGGAACTAGCTTAAGGAAACCCAGCCTGCATCAACCAAGCACCTAAATTGATACTGTCAATATTGCAAATATAGACCGTGTGGTCTCCTCCAAGCATCTAAATTTAAAACCCATCTGTCCACAAAAATATGGCCAGAACAAAGGATTGTGGGAGCTGCAATTCAGCCACACTGACATACCTTCCCATGCTGTTCTAGTTACTCAGGAAGGAGTTTGTTTTTCTTATCTCTGGACAAATTAATGCTCGTATGTTGAACACACTTCTCTATTTCAGAAAATTTGCAAGACTTCTTTGGCCTATTCTTGTCCCTAATATTTTGAGGGTGACAGCAGCTCTTTATTCTGCTTGAGTCTTAGCTGCTCAAGATTCTTTATGCTCCTAAGGTGCTGGATGCAGGCAGGAGCTTTGGCAAGCAGGTTGTCAGGCTGCCTGCTGTGTACCACCAAGCAAGGCATTCAAAGGAAGGTCTTCTCTTCTGCTGGCTCAATGCCCAGAATTAATCCTAGCTGGTTCCCTCAGGAAGATGGCAGGAATGGCCTCCCTCTGGCTGACCTGCTGCCCACAGAGGTGGATAATGGCAGGGCAGCAGGAAAAATGGCCCAGCGTGCTGAGAAGGCTACTTATATGATCTTTCCAACTGATGTTTGACTTCCTGCTTCCCCCTCCCCCGCCCCCAGGGAGCAGATGCCATCAGCTGACAGCAGCACAGGAGCCAGACAGTTTGTCGGGTCAGTGAGTGCAAAGTGGGCAAAACATGCCCAGACACACCCACAGCACACTGCAAAGAACCCTGCGGTGGATTTTACTCCCAGGGTAAAACTCCTCCAAGGGTGAGGTGGGGAGCAGAGGTTAAGGGAATAATCTCTGATTGACGTCATTAGTTTCCCCTTGTGGCAAATTTCACATTTTTACCCAGAGAAATACAGAAAGCAATGTGGACATAGGGGGAAGTACGGAGACATGGACAACAGACAATAAGGGCTCCATTTGTACCCTTAGCAATTGAGTTCCCTTCTTCCCTTTGCTTCTGTGGCCTCTAAAGTGAAGGGTGCTTATTCCAAGACATTCAACAGACTTCTCTGCATAGCTCAGATTAGATATGAGCCTGACAAGCTCTCGGGCTAATTTATTCATTTACATGATTCAATTTTGGTGCCACCAAACTCTGGGCAGTTCACAATATAAGTTGACCTTAAGTTTCTTAAGTTAACTTCCAGTTCACTGGAGGAGGCTAGGATGTCACAAGGACTTCTATTCCTGGTACTCCTTACAGGCTGTTGTTCCCAATGCCTTAAATAATCCAGCTCAACAAGAGGCATAATTGGATGTACAAAAAGATTGAGAAATTGGATTAATCAAGAGCTAAGGGGTATTTCGGGCAGCATAATAACGTTCCAGTAGCATTCTGAGAGGTGGGAAACATGTGCCCATTTAGCTTTGCTTCCTAACTTCCAGAACTTCTAATTTCCCATTTAGTTCTGCCCTCTTGGCTCCGGGGTCTTACAACCATTTAGGAGTGGCGAAGGCTCTAGAGCCAGCACCCAGAGGACTACAAGAGGAAGTTAGCCTCTCCCTTCTCTGCCCTGCAAATATTTTAAATTCTCACTTTGGGTCACAGGCCGCTGAGCTCTTCCTGGGTACCCTTCCTGAGGACAACTATGATGCCCTCTTGACCGAGAGCTGGCTGGCAGCGACCTTATGTTATCCTCAGCACTATTTAAACTATTTATTTGCTAAGATATTTTAAATACACCCCCTCAACACATAAAGCAGTAAAAGAGGAAGTGAAGATGATGATTTTAAGTACAGTCATGCCGATTAGGTGGCTCTACCATTTGAGCAATCTGTGGACTGTTATGATAATTTTATTATAGTTTCACCTTGTGATTAGTTGTTTTCATGCCTGTAATATATTCAAGCAAGAAGACAGTTGAAGATATTCCTATAAAAAAAGAAATAAAACAAGGAGCTCTTGTGTCATTTAGGATTTCGGTTCTACTGCTCTCCTTCCTTCCCAGTGTTGAACCTTGAACCGCTATACAGAATTTGCTGCGATGCAACAATATGCGTTTAAATATAACAAATCCCCCCCACAACCTCCCAAAGGCCTGGCTTGCATCTGCCTTGGAGAAGGGCCGTTCAGCAAGCCAGACCGCTCGGGGGGGGCGGGGCGAGGAAACGGCTCTCCCGGCCTGCCCGCTCCAAGAAGGCGGCGCCGGAGGCCCTTCCGCTGAGCGGCGCGTCCCAAGAGCCGGGGGGGCGACGGGCCCCGAGCCAGCCACCCCGATGGGGCCCAGGGCAGCGGCAGCCTCTCCGGCGAGGGACGCGGCCTCGTTTGCCTCCGGCCGCCCTCGCGCCCACCTCGTCGAGGAAGCGGGTAACGTCATAGACGCGATCGTGGATGACCAGCCAGGCCTCCCGGTCGGTGCTGCGCTTCGCCACCTCGGCCAAGGTGAAAAACGGGCCGGCCTCCGGCCTCGCGCCGCTGCGCTCTTCGGCCGTCTCCATCCGTGATTCCCGCCTCACCGGTCTCGGCCCTGCGGGCCGCCGCCGGCCCTTCCCCTCGCTCGGTCAATAGCAGCCGCGCGCGCGCCGCGAGGCAGCCAATCAGGCGCGGAGCCATCCGGAAGGAAGTGACATTGCTGGATGGCCGCCGATCCGAAGCGGCATCTTGGGCGGCATCCCTGACGCGGCGCGGCCGAGTCCGGAGCGAGCCAAGCTGAGTTGGGCCCCTCTGGCGCGTCCCTCCTGCGGCAAGCGAGCGGGCAAGCACCGAGGGGAGACCCGGAGGTCACGGAGCCCGACCCTCCGCGCGCCCTGGCGGACCTCCGCCTGATGCATGCGGGCGCTCGAGCCCGGAGAGCTGCCTTGGCGAAAACCGTTTCCCGGCTCACCGTTCAGGAAACGGGGACAGCGAATTGACCCTCCCGCTTCCAAATATCTTAATTCTGGCGGTCACGAGCTTTCTCTGTAACCTGCCACGCTTTTGGGAGAGCATATTATGTTTATAATATATATATATTGGCCGCTGCCCAGGGTTGCCTTCACTGAGATTGGGGAGCTATGTAAATTAATAAATATCTAAATTACTTTTTATCCTGTCTTTTAAAATATATAATTGAAGGTGGTGAACATACCTCAATCTCCTGCACCACCCGGTGCAACGAAGTGAGCTAAGAGAGTGACTGGCCACTTTCATGATCAAGGGAAGTCTAGAACTCAAAAGTCTCCCGGTTTCTAGGCCAGCAATTTCACCACTACATCAAACTGGCTCTCCAGTTGGGCACCAGGGAATATGAATTAGCCTGCCAAATGATCCTTACTTCTGAAAATGTACTGGTGATCTAAAAGCCTTGCTCTCAACGTTCTGCACATGGCCGCTCTTTGTTGAGCACGATGGATAGGAAAGAAAGCAGGCCCAGCGGGCTCATATATGAAAAGTATATAAACCATGCAATATATTAAACTGTAAAATAGGGTCTGATTATTCCCCAGGGACAGTCTTGTCTTCCTGTTCTTTGTTTTGTCAGTCACGGGAAATATTTTCGGGTGGGGGACAGCCTGTGTGGAAAGCCGTCATTTTCACAGGAAATGTGCACTTCTCTTTATTTTCCAGTCAAGCAAGTTTGGCCACATGAGCTGGAGGCTAGCCCAGCAGCTTCTTCATTTATTTACCATCAAGTTACAGAGAGTTGGAATGGGGTGGAGATAATGATAGGCCAGAGATACACAATCACAATGCAGACCTATCTGCGTGGTGGCTCCATCTTATCTGAGGTAATAAAAACAAAAAATGTAGGTAGGGTAAATTGGTCACTCCCTTCGTTTGTTTAAAGGTGACACAAGCGTTACCTTGAGCTTCTGGAAAGCTCATTATACATGGATGGAATTTGGAAGAATCAGAGTAATTTATTTCCTCATCTGACTTTCAAACAAAGTGATAGATTTGCTTTACAAGTATCTATGTGTCCTTCATTCAATGGTTCGATTCATAAACCCTTCGGATATGTATTTCAGTTGAGTGTGAATACAGCTTTGTTCCCCACTTCCCTCCCTCCATGACATCTGCGATGGTTTCTGGACTCCAGAGCAGCATTTCAGAAGAGGATCTCTTAGAGCAAGGGTGCAAAAAAGGGTGGGCAGGGGGTCTTTTTCCTATACGACAGGTTTTACCAACACCCTCTGTTACAATGAACTATGATCTGCCATTGCATTTCAGCTACTAAGTCCAATTAATGACCTTATAGCAAAGAACTGTGGCTGGTGGTATCTGGCCAAAATAATTAACACATTCATCTGTGGTGAGATTTACTGGAAAGTAAGCACAGTAAGAGCCAGTTAGTATTCAGTGTTGTGGTCAAAGGTGCTGGACTAGGCACAGCAAGACCTGAATTCTAGTCCTCCCTTAGGGACTGATCTGATCCCTCTTTTCAGCCTAGACTCTTGCATTAGAAATCCTGAAAAAGAGTACTGGCAGCCCCCTTCCCAAAATGTTATCCAGAAAACTGCATGGACCAGAGCATGTAGTCACCAAGAACCATGGCCCATAACAGGAAGGAGCATGAAAAGCATGGCTAAGGTTCACAGGCTACCCTAATGCTGTAGGGCTCCTCCGACAAGTATATTGTGTCAGTTGTTATTTCTGCAATGCCTGGAGACATGTTGCTTGCTTCTTGAGCTGGTTGCAGTGCTGCCTTTGGCTCTCATGCTCCAGCCAAGTTAGTGCCCAGACAAGGCCTAGCTGTGGCATTTCTGCATTTGCTGATGGCAGTGGGAGCGAGGGGGGCTTGTAATTTTTCTGGGTTTTTGTGTGTGTGAGTGTGTGGCTTCCCTCTCACTTTTACAGTAACGTGCAGAAGGCCAGGCACATGAGACTGCTGTAATGTGCAGATCTTTCTCCTGGAATGTTTTCTTTCATCTCTAATCACTGCACTGAGGCTCATAAATCAGGCAGTCAAGACAAAAAGCCAAACAAGAAGCATAATTTGCTTCTTCCTGGTCCTTGTTGTTTTTGGCACACAGAAAGCAGAGACATTCCCACTAATGACACCATGGGGGACTGTGGATGAGGAAACATCAGCCTGGTGACTCCCCACCTCTCTTCTCTTTCAAGGCATGCCAAGAGATCCTTGGAGGCTGATGAACAGAGTGGACATGGGCCTTTGCTTCTTGGAGAACAAGCCATGTTCTTTAGGCATTGCTTGCCCAGGACCAACAGGAAAACTCTCTACTTGAAGTTGGGAAGCAAGTTCAGACAATTCCACTATTTGTCTATTTATATGTCTTCACACACATATTTAATCTCTCTCTTAATATTAATTCACACACACAGAGTGAGAGCTTGGAACCAGTGCTCCCTGGTGGGGTCAGAACACCTTGCACTGTTGAGTCCTGAGAACAATCCACTTCTGAAGGGCCTAGTCATGTACACCAAGATCTTGGTGTTGCTGAGCTTCCAGTTAGCTTCCTCTGGACAGCACACTTGGCAGGAGACAAGCGGTCATCTACTCACAGATGTCCCTACTCTGGTAGGATGGATAGAACTTTAATAAGAACCACCTGCATACTTTAACATACATATATTATTTTCATTTATCTTTTGATGTGATGTATCCCTCATCTCCTTTGAGGGAAGTATGAATGGCAACTCGGATACAGAGGAGGGAGGGAAATAGGAAGGGAGGCTGCATCAATGGCAGTGAGGTCTTCGTATTATAACATGGAGAACATTTTTCTCAAACATAAGAGAAATACTTAAATTTATCATTGTGATCATAAAATCATACAGCATCTTTTCTACATTGTTCCCTTTAAAATACATTGTTCTCTGTTAAAACTGTCATAAACAATTTATCATCCAGTTAAAAATTATTCATAAGCTACATATATTTAGTGGAAGTATTAACTTTGACCAAAGTTGAGCTACCTGTGATAATCCCCACAATGTAAACTCAGCGTATGGTACTTGTAGGATGAAAGGTGAAAAACCAACCTCCTCTTTTTAAATGCTATCCTTTTTCCTAAATGGCATGAAAGTGCCTTTGCTCACTTTCCCTTAATTTTCCACTTGCTCTCCGAAGGGCTTCCTGGCATTTCCTCCTCCTCCTTCTGCAGTGAGTGACTGAGAAGGGAGTTTCTGTAATGCCCAGGAGACACTGAAGGAATTAACTCCCTTTCCTTGAATAGCTACTGGGTACAAAGGTGGTGCTAGTGGTGAAAGGGGGTGCGTGCAGGAGAACCAAAGACCCTGCCCAGCATTAAGTTGGTTCTGCTGAAAGTGTAAACAATGGAGGAACAGATATCTGATAGGGGCTTGCCCCATAACTGTCCTGCTTCAGTTTAATATCTTGAAGTTTTAATACAGTTTAAAAATGTGATTTTCAATTATCTACTAATTATTGGACTGTAGTATTCTATGGAGAATCCCCAGCATATCTGCTTCTTCACCTGGTCTGCAAAGAAGAGCTAACAAGAGGGAAGAATGCCTAGCATGAGAGGTAGAGTTTTAGGAAGGCAATCTGAAGTCCTTGGAGATCCTTCCGAAATTTTGTTGTGCCCAGCCTGAAATAGGGAAGAAGACAGGGGAAACTAAGCTTACACTACAGTGACCATTCAGCCCCTCACCAGACAAATGCAGGATAAACAAGGGCTGGGCATCCCACGGAGGATCCAGAGGTCGACTGGGAGCTAGGCCTGAAGTCAGTCCTGTTAAGAGTGTTGGCAGGGACAGGCCAGGATAGCAGCAGAATGTGTGGCCAGGGAGGAAAGTGTGAATCGGGAAGCAGGACCCAAGTGGAATGCTGAATTTGGATGGGATGGACCACATCCTGCCCCTCTTAGCCTTTGGCCACCAAAATAAGCATTTCCAGAGAATGGGAAGGAGGGAGAGGAAGAAAAGCAGATTAAACCTGGTCTTGAAGTCTAAAAGTGATTTAAAGAGAAAGGCCATACATGGTATACATCAGATCAGAATAAGATGGGCAAGCTTTCTGGGGGAAGGGTGTGTTGTTATATGTTATTCTACTTGCTTAAAGTAGTTATCCCCACATCCTGATACTATCAATATCCCCAAGACTGTATAATATTAAAGAAAACTGCCCCTTCATCTGTGCAATCTTTCCTATCTGCAAAAAGAATCTGCTGCCAAAGGAGAAACCATCAGAAGCATCAATTAGCTTCCCCCCCATCCCATGACTTAATTGAAAAAGTATTTGAATACAGTTTTAATACAGTTAAATTGAAAAAGTATTGGCAGCATTCTGTTTCCATTTTAAAATGGTGAAATCCCTCACAAACACAACTAGTTCATCTTGGGCACAGGAACAGGTTTGTGAAACTAGTTTTATGACATGGATATGACTTGTGCTCCAACTGCAGAACATCCCCTCAGGGGAAGGGGAACATAGAGTCTCTTGCTCCGAAGAGATGTTTCCCCAATGGCTGCATGTAGGCAGGAAGAACAGAAAATGTTTTTATTAGTGCACCACAAAAGTTCCCCGTGCTGTGGCCAGAGTTGTAGCTATGTAGGGCATGGCTGTTCAGGCCCCCCACTCCCAAATGACTCTGCAGTTACCTGTCCAGTACAAAGAACAAAAACCAGGGCTGTCTGTCCTCCTTCAGAGGGATCTGCTTCTACTCAGAGCCTCTCCCCCCCCCCACTGTATAGTCCAGGAAGAAGGGGTCCCTGCTGCAGGCAGTTCTGTGATGTGGGCCACAGATGAGCTGCAGGCCATCTGGCTCACCAGAGGTTGACCCAAGGAAACCTGAGGCCTTCACTTTGGGAATTCTCTCCAGTACCTCTTTTTAGAACACAGAGAGCACCACCAATTCATTTCAACACACTTGCCTGCACCCCGAGGCCACAGGATGATTCCTGTGGCACATCTGATTTCAGAGGATTGCTTCCTCTCCCAGTGAGCCCCAAAGCCCTGCCCATTAATCTGGGGCATCCTATCCTCTTTCCCTGGGCATATTCTGCCACCAAATATGATATAGAGGAAGATATAAATACCAAATGGCAGTCCTGGCAGGGGCACTGCTACCTTTGGACATAGGGCTGAAAGGGACCCTGGCATAGCACCCCATGTGGTCAACCAGCAGGGCCCCGTGCAACGGCATCAGGTGCCCAGCTTTCCCCTGAGCCCCTTGCCACTTGGAAGAACCATTTTAACACTTTCCTTTTGCTTTTGGTGCTTGTCCCTCTGCTGTTGGCCATCTATTGGTCACAATCGTGAGAATCGCCTGCTTTCCCAGCTTTGGAGGGGGCAGAGAGGAATCTCTCCAGCCTGCCTGCACGGAGGACCCTCTGAACGCCCCCCGCCCTTCTGGGCAGCCAGAAGGGCCATAATTCTGCTCCTGCCTCCGGGCGAGGCGAACAGGGAAAGCAACGCCTGCCCACCCCCTATTGCCAGGCCCAGAGAGGGACCGGCCGCTGTGCCCCGCCAAGGCTGCCTGCCAGCAGCTCTCGGATGCCCTCTCGAGGATGCAGCCTGTCTGGCGTGAAAGGCCGGACTGCTCCTCCTGGGCGTTCAAGGGAAAAAGCAACCTGCCGCCGTCCCGTCCCCCCCCCACCCAGCGTCCCGGCTGCCCAGGCGCCCTTGGGGGCTCAGCCGCTCACTGCGCTTGCGTCCCAGAGGGCGCCGCCTCGCGGCCCCTTGGGAGATGTGGTCCGGTGGCGGGAGGCGCGCGGAAGGAGGCTTGATTTCCGGCGCGCGGGTGACGTCACGTCAGCGGGAATGGCTACGGCAAGCGCTGCGGCGGCCGAGCAGGCGGCGGAGGCGCGGAGCATGGAGCTGGAGGCGGCGGCGAACCGCTGGGCCGTCCTCTTCTACGCCCACCAGGCCTTCCGGGCGTTCCGGGCCGGGAACAGCCAGGACTTTCGGCAGCTACGCGACGTCCTCACCGGTACGCCATCGCCTTGGGAGGCCCGTCGCGGCCGGCAGCGGGGGGTGTCGGGGGGAGGGCCGGCCGCGACGGGAGCCGCGGAGCTCCCGCAACGCAATCCGAGCGGGCTCCGGGGCCTCCCGTGGGTGCGTGCTCGCAGCCGCCCGGCCCCGCTTGACCGCCGCCGCCTCTGCCTTGTTCCCCAGCCGTGTTGGCGCGGCCGGTGGCGCTGGAGGAGCCGATCCGGATCCAGCTGCGGATTATCCAGATCCTGTCCAGGCTGGAGGAAGGTGAGCGGGGCCCAGCCCCTCTTCGCTCGCTCCCGGGCCGCCGGGCCGGGCTGGCTGGGCGCTGCGGCGGAGGCGCGGTTGGCTTCGGGGAGCTCTGCGCGCTCCGATCTCAGTCTAACGGCCAACGCGCAGGATGCGGGGTCTCTGAGGCACGGGCTGCCTGCAGGAGGGCGGTCACCTGGGCGGCTACTACCCGCTCCCTTCAGGCCTCTCGCTAGCCAGCCCAGCAGCCGGGCTCTCTCAAGCTGAGCAGGGACAGCTGGGCTGGGCTGGGAGTTTGGGGGGACTCACAAAGAGTCGTAGTAGTGGAGGAACAGAGGTTATAGTAACTTAGCAGAATAGTGCTATAGTAAGCAGGACAAGCCCTTGTGGATGTGTTGCCTGTATTCTGTGGATTACAGGATTTTGCTTAAAAGCAATTGAAGCCTCTGTACCTCTGAAATGTACATTCCATTTTTTCCAGTCGTATGGGTGTGCTATCATAGTTTAAAAGTAACAAGCCTCTTTTTTATTTTAGATTGGACCATTGATTCAGAAACTGAGCTCACACCTCTTGAAAACGGGCTTGCCCTTCTGGAGAAGCTCAGAGAGGAATGCCTCATCAAGGTGGAAATAATGGAAGAATTAAAGAGAAGAATAAAGGAGGCTGTAAGGATGACTGTTTCATCTCCTGTCGACACTAATTTCAGTGGTGATGATGGTCACTCTTTTTAAGCAGGACGAGGGGGGCCGCACTGGGAAAATTGTTTTAGAAGTAATATAGTACCCCACTAAAAACCAACTTTTCCCCTTTCTCTTTTTTCCAGTTCAAAACTGACTGTTAACTATATTTATAAGTGTCCCTGACTTCCTTTGTATAGATTTAATAGCTACAAAACTCTTGTCACTTTGAGAAAAGAATAGGAAGGCCGGCTGCTCTCAGATGATGAAAGTCAACTAGTGAAACCACCAAGGGAGCAGGCCTTGGATGTTGAGAGCAAGACTCTGAAAATGGAAGCAAGGGAGCTGCCATGGGCTCAATCTCCACTTTGTTTCCATTGAGTTCAGAATTGGAGAAAGGGCTTTACTGGGGGCCACGTAAAACAGATCCGGAAAACACTTTGTTTAGAAATCCACAAAAGGTATGCTTGCATTCTTATTCTTATTTTTTTGCTTCAGGCTGTTATCACCTGTATTAAGAACAAAGAATATGAACATGCCAACAAAGTCTTAAAGAAGTACCTGTCACAGGATCCAAGCAGCAAGGTGAACATTTTGGATATGTCCCAGTGATGCGTTCTTCCTTCCCTTGCAAAGCCAGTGGCTTTTTTGGATGCCTGTCTTCTCTCAAGGGGTAGAAGAGAGCAGGCATTGGCTGCTAATTGTGGCTGTTTTAGAGCATTGTGGATTGGCAGTCAGCTTACCCTTCTAGGCCCTTCAAAGACGTGGATCTCTACTGCTTTTCCTTGGCTAGCAAATTAAGGCTATTTTGCATCACATCATCCAAGAGAAAAACTCTTCTCATCCAGCCATCTGTCAGTTCTCCTACAAAGCTTTCCAGCAGCGGATTCTTCTCTTCTTTGAACCTTACTTGGATGATTCTGAGCCATTTCTCTTAGTGGTGAGTGTTGGTTTGCGGTCACGTATGGCCTTAATGATTTGATCATTACTTTAGTGGCCACATAGTGCTACAAATACAGTACTAGAAATCAATCCTCAGAATAGAAACTTAGGAACAGTAATAATTGTATAGTTATAGCAATGGCAAGATATTAAGGTAACACAGGAGTTCAGTTTTTCTCAGTAGCAGTTTTGTGTGGGAAAAGCAACTACAGTCTGTCTGGATTCTGCACCATATTAAAACCCCTGTGGTGACTCTCGTGCTTTTTATTTAAGATGGCAAAAAAGTATTGCGATGATCATGTGAAGTCCAAGGAGAGCCCAGCAGCAACAGCAGCTAGCAGGGCGAGAATGGCTGTTTTGGGGGCTGCACAAGAGGCCCCTGAGACCTCGAGGACAGCAAATGGAGAGAGAGTAGGAAAACTCAGCGAGGCCCCAGAGGCAGGAGGAAGGCCGGAGTCTGGAGCAGGAACCGGAGAAACAGCAGCAAAATCTTTGCCAGCACTGGATGAACGTGAAGTCTTGGGCTGCACGGAGGCTGCCGATGAGCCCACCAAAGCATCCACACAGGTGGATGGAGCGACAGGGACAGCAGAGCCCGCTGACATGGCCCCCGTGTCTGCGGCTTCCGACGACTCAACGCAGTAAGTCCTCTCTGGCATGAGAGTCCATGTACAAAGGCTGTGGATTGCGAATATTGGGCAAAGGAATGTTAGAGCAACCCTATTTGTTCAGGGAACTCTATAAATATGACCGGACATTTAAATTGGGGGGGTCTTTTAATTTGGGGGGTGACTTAAACCATATTCAAAGTAACTTTAAAGCAGTGCATCAAATCTTTACAATTGAACAGCTGAGCCTTGTCTCCTGTAACAGAGAGAGGAGAGAGTTGTGTGGTATGTAAAAGGCCATTTCCTTAATAGCAGGATCTAAATGAATAATGCCAAATTGCATTTGGCTTTCCTCAGTCTCTGCCCTGCCCTATCGGCAACGACCAGCAGAGTAAAATCCACACAGATTCCTTTACCTTTTTCTTTTGGCCTCTTCCCTGCCTGTGTTTTGTGGCTCTCATTTGGGGTTGGGAGATGAAGGGTCTAGTAGTGCAACATGCCAGGAGATGCAAGGCTGGGGGATGAATGTGATTGTGGTCCTCCTGTTACTACATCTGCTTTGGATCACTGTGATGCAATCATCTGCTGGCTGGTAGGTCTTTCAGGGTGCATGAAATGGCACTTGGGGTGTTACTCTGGCTGACAGACATCTTTTCCCAGAGAGGATCCTATGACTCCACAAGGAGACGTTTCCTTGATTGGATCTTTGTCTTTGCTCTGCTTCCTGGGCATTTTAATTTTCCCCTGGTGAAGGAGGCACAGCAGTGACTTCATCTAGAGAGGTCTCCTTGCCCTTGAGCTGGATAGAAATTGGCAGAGCTCACAGAATATTCTTCTGGGGTTCCTGTGTTTTGTAGGGCCTCAAGCCTGAAGCCGGCTTTCTACGTGCTTTCTGTGCTGAGAGAAGCCTTCAAGATTCTTTCTGATGCCCCAGACCCTGAGGAGGCCTTCTTGCAGCTGGACAAGACTGACTGGACTTATTCCAAGCCACTCTCACCTTCCAGCTCCCCCAGAGCTAAACGCCAGAATATGGAAAACGTCGCTGTCCCGGCTCTTCTCGGCCTGGAGAAGATCAGATCTGTGCCCTCTATAAGCAACATGCTCTTGTGGAAAGAGGGGGAACATCGCAGGCATTCCCCTACCAGGCAGTTGGTTGCAAAGCCACTTGTGACTCTGGAGGTCCAGTCATCAGAGTGTGAAGAGAGCCATCCAAGTGCACTACCCCCAGGTTCCAGGTATGGGGTGAGGGCTCCCTTTGGGTCTCTGTTAGGAGAGGTGGCAGAGCTGCAGTCTTGGAAGTATCGGCATTGAGTGCCCATTCTTCTTGCAGATCTCCTCGGGCATTTTCATGGTTTGGCCATAGCCACTTCCCTAAAGGGGAAGGGATGCACTCCAGCAGGGCTATTCCCCTCTGGGCGGGCATCAGGATGATTGAAGAAACTCATTTTTGAATTCCTATTGCGATTTGGGGTAAGAACAACGTCCCCTGGATGCTTGCCGATGTGTGCCTCTGTGGCTGAAAGTGTCTGATGCTGTCAGAGCCAGGAGGGGCTCACCTGTAATCGGGCTTTCTTTTCTGCTTTAGGAGGGCCAAACAAGTGGCTCTTTCCGTTCTTCAGGAAGAGAAGGAATCCTGGAGTGATGAGGACGAGATCTTCATGGACCAGCGTGAGTGCATTATTCATGTATTTGCCCTAAACTCTGCCAGTAAGCCTGAAGGGAATGTTTATCCTCTCCGCTTGCGTTTCTGGTGCAATGTTGTGTTGTCCTGGCAAAAACCATTTGAGGCAGGAAGGTAGAAGCACTCTGGCTGTGTATGTCAGAAAAAATTCCCAGGCAAAATTTGTGCCTGCCAACCTCTGCGAGTTGTTTTCTTTTCCTTTTTTCCTTTCAGAATTAGAGTGGTCAGTTGGCACCAACACTTCTGGGGCTAAGAAGAAGGTAATGTAACCTAACCCAAGCAGAGAACTTTCTGAAACAAAACAAATTGATCATTGCCCATTTCTCTTCTCTAAAAATAATTTAGACAATCTAGATAATTATTGCCACTGATAGGGCAGGAATGTGGGAAATTGCTGCTCAGGGACTGCTCTGCTGTGGCTGCTGCTGTTTCAAGCTTTTTCAGCCTCCCTCAGAGTTGGCAAAGTTTGTATCTTCTCAGCGTAGACTAAAGTTTTGTTTCAGCCAATATAAATTAAAACTATTATGGGGACATAGAGTGCCTGGGGAATGTTTTTTTTTCCATTTTCTGCACTTTTATTAATTTTAGCTGTTCCTGCTTATTCATGAGGGTTTCCATTGTTTCTTTTGTAGTGGTCTTTAGAAGAGTCTGCATGGATCAAGGAAGGTGTAGAGAAGTTTGGGGAGGGGAACTGGAAAGCTATTTCTCAAACTTATCCTTTTAAGGATCGTACATCTGTGATGATCAAGGACCGCTGGCGAACAATGAAGAAACTGGGATTAAACTGAATTTGAGGAAAGATTGTGCCTTGAATTTATTGTGTTAGCTGTCGCCCTGCCTTAAATATATTATGTAAAATAGGTGTCAGAATCCAATTATATTTCATCTCTAGTTATCGTCTATGGAAAACCCCATTTCTGCCCTCTCTGGATTTTGTCATACTACGAAGGGGAAGGGGGATGAGCAAAGGGGTTTTATGGCTCTCACTTCCTTCATTAAAACTTCAAAGGGACTGAATGTGAATCTCACCAAGAGGACTGACCATAACAATATGGCCCATCAGCTTTCATCTAATACTCTCTGAAGTCTCCCTTCTACCAGTCAGAGAAAAAGGGGTGGAAATGTAACGCCTGGAATTGTCGCTGGAAGGACGGTGGGGTGGGAGTTGCTTGGGAACACTTAAAACCTTGAATGGTAGGGGTTGACCTCTCAGATCCTGTCTAGAACTCCTGCAACCATCTTCTCTTAATAAAGATGCCTGTTGGAAGAACTATTCCAAGAGTTCTGTCTTAAGATGCAAAGTGGGGTGGGTCCTTACAATAGGTCCTTATAATAGGTAATAAAATGTATTGAATAATTTGCAGTCCAGGCAGCTTGTTTTATAACAATCGGAACATCAATCAACAGCAAACTAAGCATCAAAAAAGAACTGCATACCAACATAATCAAAGCAAGATAATAAAAGTCAAAACATATAGAATATGCCAATATCTATGAAATATGGCAGCCATATAAAACTGGGTTTTCCAGCAAAAGTTGCTTGTGTGCTCTGAGAGGCCAGGCTCAGCCCTGGTTAATGTTCTTCACATTCCCACAAGGTGCCCGAGGACCCAGATGGGGGAAGTCCCTGGAATAGCATGGGGCAGCTCCCCTCTTGCTGGCTGGCTTTTATCTGGTTGCAGGCAGAGTATCATCCACTAGTAAAAAGGTGTTTATTCTCTTGCGTTTAATCCATATATAAAGTCAGCCATATTTTCTTCCTCATGATCTGGCCAATTCCTTGGAAACATTGCTGTTGGGGAAGTGACATGTCCTTTAGGCCAGGGGTGCAAGCATGCAAGTTTACATGTGTACACCCATTTTTCCAAGGGAGGAAAGAAAAGGCATAGAGAAGCTGTTAAAAATGGGCTGTATAGAGAAGCACCACACCTTGGTCATTTCTGCTTCTGAGCCATCCTTTGAAATCAATTAGCAATCTTGAAGCCCCCACCTGCTACCCTTCAGCTGAGAGCCAAATTAACAGCCCTTCCCCAACCTGCTGTCCCACATCCTGAGGTGCTTGACAGGCTGCAAGCTCACCCCCTTGCCTTTGTGGAGCAAAAGGGGGAGCAAGCAACTTGACCCAGGAGCTGCTGGAGCTGAAGGTCCCCAGGCAATCTGGGCGCAGTACCCTGTGAAGGGAGGCCTTTTCACTCTGGCCGTGGCACAACTTCCCAAGGGGTCCCTCTAGCCCCTCCCCTCCCCAGGTTGCTCCGCCTGAACCAGCAGGTGCAGGGCAGCAAAGTTAATGATTAGCTCAGCCAGCTGCGAGGTTGCAGTTCCTCCACAGAGCCCACAGCCAGCTGGCATCCGTTTGCCAACATGCTTGCCTGGTTCCAGATGGTGGGGTTCCTGGGTTTGCTTCAGGGGCTGCAACTCGTCCACTGCCAAGAGAGGAAGCAGCCAGGGGGTCCCACAAGCAGCCTCTCCCCCCCCATGAGGGACCGGTATGATTTTGCCATTGTCATCTCTGCAGGTGGCATTGAATGCCTCTGGCAATTTGCACACCAAAATGGCTCCTTCTACTTCAGCTATGAGGTGGGTACCGTGGGGAGGGAGGCAAAGGGGGAAGTCCCCCCCCAATTGTCGTGTCTAGCTGCTCGGTTGAGGCAGGAATAGTTCTTTCTGGCAGCCCCCATTGTGAGTAGCAGAAAAGCTGCCCATAGCTGTTCTGCTCAGAATTATTCCAGCAGGATTCTGCCCAGCATCTCACTTCCCTCAGTGGATCCCAGAGACCTAGCCACCCTGGGAAGGGAGGGTCCCTTGTACACCTGACTCCACCAGGCAAAGGGGGGAGAGGGGAATCCTGCAGAGATGCCTGCCAAGATATGCTTGGAAGCAGCTGGAGCAGATCTGCCCAAGCAGAAGCCAGGGAGACGGAGCTTCAGAACTCTTGGATCTCCACCCTGCCTCTTGTGGGAGGGGAGGATTCCCCCACCGCCCAGCCCAGCCCAAACTTTGCCCACACGAAGAGTCCCTCAACCTGTTATCAGCACCCCTGAGTTTCTATGCTGCTTAGAAAGGGGGGAGTGCTCTCCCCCTGCCATACAAGTAGCTCCTGCGCCCCAGGGCAGACCACTGAAGCCCTTTTTGCAGGCAAGAGGCACCTGCAGGGGGAACCTGTGATTTAAGAACCAACTCAGCCACTTTCAAGGCACTTGGGCCCAGGAAGCAGCAGAGTCATTGGCCCCATTGATCCTTCCCGATTTGACTTGGTCGCTCTTGCTTCCAGGTGCAGAGGACTTCAGGCCTTGGCCATGATAGACACATCCTAGCAACTGTGAATGACCCCAGTGGCTTCCACCTCGGCACCTCCCAGGATGTGCAGGGACAGATCAACTTCCCGACTCGGGAGACAGGTGCCCCATCATTGGCTCTGCCCCAAAGCCCCATCCAGAAGGCTGCTTCAATGACTCCCTTTTCTGTGCTGCCACGTGGCATAGACCAGCCACCGTCCTTGTTTCAGCATGACACCTTGCACGAAGACAACACTTGGGCTTGTTAGTCATAGTTTAGGGAGTCCAATTCATCTACCCCCCCTCCCCCAAGTACGTGAAAGCCTCAATTGCCAGAATGCCAGCAAGCAGAGGCTGGTGGAATTGCATCTGCCACTGTTGCAGATTCTTCCATGAAAATATCCTCCACTTGATGGCCCAAACATACTATTTGAGCCTCATTTGGATCCACCTTATAGCTTTTTTAATGCAGAAATCCTACTTTATATAACCTTTTTTTAATTCTAAGGAGAGCTGAACACCAAATCCAATTCCAATCTCACCCCTGCATTGAATTCCCGTTTCAGTATTTTTGTGCTTTCGAGATAGAAAACGACTAGGAAATTGCTAGGAAAGGTTGACAGCATTGTGTTTCAAAGGAAAAGCAGATTTAACCATGGATACAGCTTTCCTTCTCCTGTCCTTGTGAGCAGTCCATTTACTGTATGTACATCACCTACCCAGTGCAGCTGAGGAGGGCAGCATCACAGGAAATGTCCTTGAGACTTGGTGTAATTCTCCCTTCTGTTTACAGGCTTCTACCAGCTGTGCCTGAGTAATCGATACAACCATTTTGGAACTGTGCAAGTGTATCTCAACTTCGGGGTCTTCTATGAAGGCTTTGATCTAGAAACTGCTGAGCTCAAGAGGACAGAACTCAATGGCACCCTGGAAGCAATTGAGGTATCTAGTTTAAAGGCCTGAAATGAAAGTAGCTGTTAGGCTGTTACCTAACAGCCTTTATTAGCTAATTAGAAAGGGGAGGTGTTCTTTTCCTCTAAACGCCAGGAGCTGAATCTGATTTTTTTTAAAATCCAAAATAGAAGAGCACCACCAAGCTGCTGACCAATATCTTCCACATGTGGCGCTACTACAACTTTGCTCGGATGAGGTCAAGGACAGACTTCAACCTTCTCCAGTCCAACTACACCTATGTGAAGTGGTGGTCGGCAGCTCAGAGTGTTGCCATTGTGCTCTCTGGCATCCTTCAGCTCCGTTTCCTCAAGCGCCTCTTTGCTATGCAGCCGAGCCAGAAGCCCAGATGCTGAAACTTCAGCAGGATGCGACGCCAAGCCCCAAAGCAGGAGGGCCCCACCTCTGGCTACAAAGTCATGGAGTGAGTTGTACCCTTCTCAAGGCTGGAATTTGCTAATAGGATAATAAATCCAAAGAATTCTCTTTAAGTGAACTGATTGACTAGGAGCAACATCAGCATATGTGAATATAAATATTAACTGAATTTTTAAAATACATTATGCCAGGGGTAGGCAACCCAAAACACTCAGAGAGCCACTTGGACCCGTTTCCCACCGAAAACAAAACACTGGGAGCCGCAAAACCCTTTTGATATCTAAAATGAAGATAACACTGCATATATCCTTTTTTACCTTTATTATAGGTAGGTGTGTGTGTGTGTGTGTGTGTGTGTGTGTGTGTGTGTATCTCATATATATCTCATAAAGGATATATGCAGTGTTATCTTCATTTTAGATGTCAAAAGGGTCTCTCTCTCCCTCTTTCTGCCCTTGGTCTGCCAGTCTTCTTCCCCCAGTGTGTGTGTGTGTGTGTGTGTGTGTGTGTGTGTGTGTGTGTGTGAGAGAGAGAGAGAGAGAGAGAGATGGGGGGGGAGGGGGGAAGGGAAACGCAAGGCAGAGGAGGCTGGGAGCTGCAGGAGAAGGCTCAAAGAGCCGCATGCGGCTCCAGAGCCGCAGGTTGCCGACCTGTGCACTATGCTGTAACAAGAGTTGAGACCGCTGATTATCCAAATAGAACAGGGACATCTTTTATGAGTGTATGCAACCAGAATTGTCCCCTTCAATTTTTTCTGCCTTGAGATGCAACTGCCCAGCTAAAAAAGTAAAAGGAAACAAGTGCATTTACTGTGCTAAAAATAACAGAAATGGCATCTTTATCAGCTCCTAGAGCTCAACATGAGTAAAACAATGTGAATAATATCAGATAATTTGGCTAAGAGTTATAGCAGGGGTCCCCAACCCCCAGTCCGTGGACCAGTATCGGGCCGCAGCATGCCAGCAACTGTTCCGCACAAACAAGGAAAACCCCATCCATGGGGTACAGGCAGCACACAAAACCACGCCCAGTCCGGTCCACGGGAAAACCTCTCTCCACAGAACTGGTCCCTGGTGCCCAAAAGGTTGGGGACCTCTGAGTTATAGCTTCATCCCAAAGTTTTACAAGTTGTTTAACTAGCAGGCACAGATACTGGTCACATGTTACCCGTTTCTGACTGGGAAACATTCATATTTCATCAATCAGCAGTCCTTTCAGATTGCATAAAAAGGGGCATTAAGTAATCCAAAGCACAACACAGTTTTTAAGGTTTCCAGCTGACAGAGTGCTAGGAGGAATTCAGCCCTGTTTATTAAGTCAGTGTCTCCTCATGCCGTATGTACTCGCCTATGTCTGCTTGGTGAAATACTACAATTGCCATGGGATCCACTTTTCGACACTCCTGGGTGGTTTTGGCTGCCACCCCAAATCCCTGCAGGAAACAAAGAGGGTAAAGTGAATAATACAACTCTTCTCGGTATCAAGACCCACCCAAATCCAAACATCTGCCACAACTCACCAGAGGGACATCAGCCATAGAATACACCACCACTCCTTGGTACTGAGCAGTGCTCTCAGTGATACGCCCCAGACCGGACTTCAAGAGGTGGTTCCCATATAGGAAAGACTGTTCTGCCCCAGGCTTCACCCAGACTTTGTACTGTAGGAGAGAAACAGAATAACCCACTGAACTCTAAAGCCTCAAGAAGTGGTTCCTTGCATGATAAAATGAACTCTTAAACCTCCTGCACTGAATTAAACAGTATTGCTGAAAAAAGTAAGGTTCTACATTTAGGCAAGAAAAACCAAATGTACAGGTATAGTATAGGGGGTACCTTGCTCAATAGTAGTAACTGTGAGAGGGATCTCAAAGTCCCAGTGGACAATCACTTAAATATGAGCCAGCAGTGTGCTACAGCTGCCAAAAAAGCCAACTCAGTGCTGGGCTGCATTAACAGAGGGATAGAATCAAGATCACATGAAGTATTAATACCACTTTACAATGCCTTGGTAAGGCCACACTTGGAATACTGCATCCAGTTTTGGTCACCACGATGTAAAAAAGATGCTGAGACTCTAGAAAGAGTACAGAGAAGAGCAACAAAGATGATNAGGGGACTGGAGGCTAAAACATATGAGGAACGGTTTCTGGAATTGGGTATGTCTAGTTTAACGAAGAGAAGGACGAGGGGGGACATGATAGCAGTGTTCCAATATCTCAGGGGCTGCCACAAAGAAGAGGGAGTCAAGCTATTCTCCAAAGCGCCTGAGGACAGGACAAGAAGCAACGGATGGAAACTGATCAAGGAGAGAAGCAACCTAGAACTAAGGAGAAACTTCCTGACAGTTAGAACAATTAACCAGTGGAACAACCTGCCTCCAGAAGCGGTGAATGCTCCAACACTGAAAGTTTTTAAGAAGAGACTGGACAGCCATCTGTCCGAAGTGGTGTAAAGTTTCCTGCCTGAGCAGGGGGTTGGACTCGATGACCTCCAAGGTCCCTTCCAACTTTTTATTTTTATTATTATTATTATTATTATTATTATTATTATTATTATTATTATTATTATTATTATTATTATTATTATTATTATTATTATTTCCATTTTAATTCACACATAAAAGAGACCAACTCAGCTAAAAAAAAAAACCAAAAAACCACCCAGAAAACCACAAGCAGCAGCTTTGGCATCACTTATTTCTCCAAATTAAGACCGGCGTTAGCACCGTTTGAACTCTTAAAAGCACGATCAAGTTTGTTCATTTTATTCAAGAAATACAATCCATTTGATTGCATTTCTCAAAAGATGCTAGCAACAGTCCCTCATTATAGTAAAAGCATTATCCTTAAGAGCTTGACTTCTTTGCTTGTTGCAATTGCAGTCAAAATAATGAAGACGATGATAATAAGCAAACTGGTTGCGACTTCCGGTGGCGACGGGCCACGCCCATGGAGGCTTTCTTTTAGCCTCCCGCCCGGGTCTGCATCAAAGTCCGCTCAAACAGCGCCCATCAGCTGTTTGGCGGCTCGGAGCTTTCACCCCGGGAGAAGGGGAGAAAGCGAGTCTTTTCTGGATAGGGGTAGAGTTCCCTAGTTCCCCCAAGAGTGTTTTTGGGGGAATGAAGGTGAGAACTCCCCCGGAGTCCAGAGTTGTCTCCGCGGCTCGGGATGCTTTCGTTCCTTGGAGCGGAACCAGACGTTGCCTCCACTTCTGTCAACTATAGAGATTTCAGATTGTGAGTAAACTCATAAACAGACGGAACTGACCAGAACTGGATTTTAGTTGAATTAAGACTTTAACTCAGAGAATATATCGGCATCTTCCCTGTTTGCTATAAAATTAAAGTGAGAAGAAAATGGCTGCGGATGTGCCGTTTCTTTGTACAAGACGCTGATAAGAAAAACTTTCACTCTTCTTCCAGTTGTGGAATGGATATATCATAAAGACCTTATTGGAACTTTCAGTTTAAAGGATATCTGCTGTTTTGTGTTCTGGATTTTATATAATTATACTCAGAAGAAGTTTGTAGAATGGCTTCTAAACATACTGGAGCTTCTGCATTGCCTAAAACAGCTATTTCTTCTCCAGTTGTGCAAACTCCACAACAGAAACCTAAATCTCCACCACCTTCGCCTCCCCCGTCTATTACCCTCAAAGAACTACAGGATGCTTTGGCGCAGGCTTCGTTGCAGACAGTAAAACAGGTTAGAATGGAAACGGAGCAGCTTTTTAATAAGAAAAATGAGGAACTTTGTGAGAACATATCGCACATTTTTCAAGGTTTTGCGGCTCACGTAGATCGTATAGAGGGACGGGTGGATGAACTAGCGGAGAAAGTAGAAGGAATGGAGAATAGATTTGATAAGTAGAAGAAATTGCTCAGAATGATATTGTAATGTCACAATACAGAGACATGGAGTTTGCCCTGAGAATCAGGGGGCTGAAGGAAGACTCATAGGAGAACTTGAGAGAGGAAATAGCAGCTTTGGCTTTAGTTTTGGAGTGCAATCCTAATATAATTTTGGGAGAAACTGAAAAAGTTTATAGGGTTAATTCCTGGATTGCACATCAGAGAATATTGCCAAGAGATGTTGTTGTTTACTTTTCTAGAAGAACACGTCGCAATGAAATTACACAGGCTTTCTACCAGTAGAGATTTCAGATTGCTGCTCACGATGTTATACTTTTAAAAGAAATACCTCCTAAAATTTTAAGAAAAAGGAAGGATTTTGCTTTCTTGACTCAGGAGTTAAAGAAGCGGCAAATTCCTTTTAGGTGGGATATACCTGCTGGAATTGTGTTGAATTATGCGGGGATACGTTACAGATTGAATACGATTCAAAAAGCTAAAGACTTTTACTTATCGGTCCTGAAAGCTGACTCACCATCTTCACCGTGATTTAAAGGAACGGAAGATTTGACTGAACAATTAGTTGTTGAACTGCCTGGGGCTATGTCACCAGGTGTAGGAGATTCTCAGAATCAACAAGTGTTTGAAGTGAAACAAGATTCAAAAGAGCAAAGAATGACTCGTGCAGCTTATAAACGTAAGGAGAAAGAGCAACAAAAAGAAACTGTATCCATAACGTATTCGCCTGCTTCAGAGCCTGTGGGAGGGGCTAGACCTGGGGTAGGCAACCTCGGCTCTTTTATGACTCATGGACTTCAACTCCCAGAATTCCATGAGTCATAAAAGAGCTGAGGTTGCCTACCCCTGGGCTAGACCGAAGAGATCTGTGATGACAGATCTGCAAGGAATGCTCCAGAGCAGTGGTTCTCAACCTTTTTAATGCCGCGACCCCAACCGGTCGTAAGTCGAGGACTAAACTGGTCGTAAGTCGAGGACTACCCAACCGGTCGTAAGTCGAGGACTTTCCCTGCCCAGGAGAGCCGCGCATGCGTGGTTCCGCCCCCTGTGCCGGCCGAGGCGTAGCTGGCAAGCGGCAGAGACGGAGCAGGCCGACCACCAGCTGGCCCAGCCCAAGGGAGGTAAGGCACCCGCCGGAAAAGGGGAAAAAAATGGCGGACAAAAAAAATGGCGGACAGCCTTGCTTGGCAACCCCCGTGAAATGGTCGATCGACCCCAAATGGGGTCCCGACCCACAGGTTGAGAACCACTGCTCCAGAGGCTCCACAAGCCAAAGGATAGTTAAGTTGATGACTTGGAATGTAAATAGTTTGAATTCGCCACAAAAAAGAAAATATTTTATTATTTGAAACAACATAAAAATGACATTATATGTTTGCAAGAAACCCACATTACTTTGAAGGATCAAAAGCATTTGATTAACTCTCGATTGGGACTTCATTTTATTGCTCCAGCTCCAAAGAAAAAAGCAGGTGTAGTTTTGTATGTTAGGAAAGAATTATTGCCAAAACTAATAGACTTTGACTCAGAAGGAAGATTTGTATTTATTGAATTGTTATTTAATGGAAAGAAATGTCTTATTGTTGGCTTATATGCACCAAATCAGCAACAGCAGCAAAAACAATTTTATAGACTTTTGCATCAGAAAATAATTCAATTGGATTATAAATCAGTTATTATGATGGGAGACTGGAATGGCATTATAGATTCAACGAAAGATAAAAAGACTTCTTCTAAAGTTTTGACTCAAGCTAAATTACCTAAAACTTTTTTTGCATTGCAGGAGGATTTGGAGTTAAGAGATATATGGCGAGATCGGAATATTGGAGAAAGAGACTTCACTTTTTTTTCGGACAGACATCATTCTTATTCTAGAACTGACTTTTTCTTAATAACTAATGATTTATTTTCTAGGGTTAAGAAAGTGAAGATTTTTCCTAGGACTTTGTGTGTGGATGGAACTTTTTTCTGAAGAAGGAAGTAGAAGGACATGGAGATTAAATGAGAACTTATTCAGACACGAGAGCAACTTGCAGAAACTTAAAGATCACTTAAGAGATTTTTTTTTGCTGAACATGAATAAGGGCACTTCTATGCCAATGGTATGGGATGCTAGTAAGGCTTATATGAGAGGTGCCCTGATTTCAATGAATACTGCACACAGGTGAAAGCAGATACAAAAACGTAGAGACTTGGAGGAGGAGATTAAAATAAAAGAAAAGGCTCTCATTTTAAATCCAATGGATAATAATTTAAAGGTTTCTATTACTATGTTGAAGGAACAATTTAATATGTTAATGGCAGATCAGATTGCAATTAATTTGAGGTATATGAAACACAATACATTTTGCAATGCTAACAAACCTGGTAGATGGTTGGCTTACCAATTACGCAAGAAGCAAAAATCTAGAACTATAGAGAAAATAAATTTCAAAGGGAAAGAAGTCTTCCAACAAGATTTGATTAAGAAGGCCTTTTTGGATTATTTTTCAAATTTATGTCTCTGAAAATATCTCATCTTCTGAAATAGATAGATATTTACAAGAAGCACATTTTCCTAGACTTTGAGATGAGCAACAAGGAGTGATGAACTGGCCGATTGTTTCTGATGAGATTACAGAGGCAATTAAACAATTAAAGGTTGGAAAGGCTCCTGGTACAGATGGATTAACAGCAATATATTATAAAATGTTATCTGAAGAAATGATAGAACCTTTGAGACATCTTTTTAATGGTATTCTGTCCGGAGCAGAGGTGCCTCCATCGTGGAGACGTGCATTTATATCACTTATACCTAAGGAGGATCAGGACTTGACTCAGCCTAAAAATTATAGACCAATATCTTTATTGAATACAGATTATAAGA